GAATTTTTTTCCACATTGTGATGCAGAAAACACAAACTAGGAAAATTATGGTGGAAAGGAGAAATTAGGACAGTCAGTCGGTTGGGTGTAACGTAAAAACTGAAACATGTGTGTGAACTGGTTATTGGACAGCATGGTTGTTTACACGTTGACGGGTTTCAGATTCCTAGGTAGTTTACGTAAAGTGTTTACGGAACGCCAAAATGAAATAAACAAGGTGTGTGGTATGTCTTTCATATTAATACATGACAAAATATAAGATGCGGTTGTAATGAAAGCACTTGAAAATGTATGATAATCCTCAGATTATTTTTAAGAAATAGATATTCAGAGTTTGATAGTGACTTGTTCGACGACGACCAACCTAAATTTCTGACGTTATTTTGAGTAATCAATTGTTCTGATATTTACATAAGCACAATAAAACTAGTGGATTAAAATACCATATATACCAGTAATCAAATTCTATATCACACTGGAACCATTTTAATGTCTCAATGAGTTTAAAGAGGTAAATACACCTTATGGAAGCTCTTTGCCTGAAAACTACTGATACAGGTCAGTACTGACGAATTGACTCATTGATTGTAACGTTTGTCACAAAAAATGTGAGCTTTACATCTATTACAAAGAGAGTGGGTAGTGAAGATCACTGGAAAGTTGAAAGGACTAGATCTTTAGAATACTTCTGAGTTTTTAATGTTTCTCTTACTACGATTGATTCATGACGGAACACTACCTGACAATTTATAACATTCATAGCTAATTAGAATTTATTGGAAAAAATGAATCAGTCATATGGAAAAATTCCTGGTATCAATAAACTTAGAGTTGATTCTTTGATATCTCCTGGTAATTAATGTATTGCTAGATGATGGAACTAAACTTGTTACTGGAAGATCATGAGATATATCCCAATAAACCACCAAAAGTTCATTTGTATTACGTACCTTTGCACAATTTTATTCTATCATTACTTAAAGCTAACTTCCCCTATTGAAAGTCAATAAATGATATCAAGTAGCAGAGTATGTAAGTTGTGGCAATAATAGGTAAATAAGTACAACAATTCACTTACGTCATACTCTTTTGTGGTGTTCTGATCGAAGCATCTACACTTTTAAACAATTTTATTTCAAGAATCATTCCACAACAGTGTGTTATGTTGGTTACGTAATAATGATAACCATAATTAAATGAGTCTTACTGATGGTAAACTATAATACTGCTGTAACCTAGATTCGCCGCCAGTGCAGCGGAATAAACTTCAGTCAGAATCACCAGTACTATTGTCAATTATGATGAAGAACATGTTTCTTTGAAACTCGCAAAGAAATAAACGAAGCAAAAAAGTACTAATAAACTCACCCATGCAACCTCGAGTCACCATACAAATCTGATAAACCGTTAGTTACGTAATGCCAGTGAGGAGGGCTTTGCATTTCAGCTGATCCTGGATTTGCATACATATTGATAAAATCCAAAGGATCTGGTCCACCCATCCAGAACTTTCGAACAGCTGTTACTTGCAGTGGAGTAGGTTGATCAGGATACAACAGTCGACAAGCTGCATAAATAGCTTTTAAGCCTAAGGCATGCTCTTCTTTAGCAGATGGAACACTGCCTAAATTAGGAGCAGTCCCTGAACTTAAAACTGGTCCAAAAGCACTATTCGACATTTTTATTTGGTAATAATGAGTATTAGTACATTTTTCTTCTAAAATAGAAATAAGAAACCGGACCTGAGTTATATATATATTCAACTAATTACACACAAACTTACAACCCTCTAGTTATCAAAGGCATCCTCTTTGAAACAAACATGTGCACATTGACATTTAATAAAACATAACCAAGTTTAGAGGGGGAAACCCTGAAAACATATCGTTACGCAACTTAGTCGTGAATCAACTACACTTTAAAAGCTATTTGTACTACACAGCAGATCTGTACAAAGTATGTACAGAAAGATACGAAACTATAAACTAACTCATGAGTGCTTAAACTATTCAGCAACAATTCAACCTTAAATATATACCTGTGTTGGAAACAAATCAACATTCAGGTCAAACCACGGATTTTGTGATACATACGTGATTTACTTAAATATTTAAACTTACTGAAATCATTCAACTCAAAAAATCAACTATGGTGTATGCACAGAATCATGAGCAGTAACCCACTTCGTCGTAGTCGAGATACTGATATTATAAACAAAGATGGAATTTTTAAGGTGAATAGGAACTGAAGGTAATCAAGAAAATTGATACGAACACCTTATACATAAGGCCAGTCATGCAATGCAAAAATAAGCAAGAACTGTAGATTAAACTAAACAACAACATTCGGAAACATATAGCAGTCTTTCAAAATAGTAAAAGGCTGAGTCGAACACAAGTAGTCTGAAGGTCATAAGGGTTATTCCAAGTCCTTAAAGCCGGATAAAGGAGAAGGGTTGGGTATTTGCCTACCAAACCCACCTCACTAAATACAAAGTCGTTGGAAAAACGCTAACCAGACTCAACCAACTAACTCACACTCTCCACTAGTAGTTGAAGGATCTTGATATAGAAGAGTTATGAAGCTTCAGGAAAAATCCCGAGATTCTTTGAAGGCCATGGAAACGGTGCTCCTTCTGACGACCAGAATAACAATTAATATAGGGACACGGAATGTCTGGACAAAGTGAGAGGTTAAGAGGACCATTCAAATGGTGGCAGAAGTGAGAAGATACAACCTGATCTTTATTGGGATAGGTGATTCCCAACGAACACAATCGGAGCAAAACAAACCAACTCCAAGACAGATGTTATATTCTAAACATGAGGAAGAAAATACCCACACACGCATGAAATTGTTCTGACGCTGTCCAAAGAAGCATGAGAATTGCTGACTGGATTGGTTGAAAACTCATGGCTCTAGGATCACCAAAGCATCCGTTGAACTAAAGAGGGGAAGGATTACGACGAATGTCGTCAAGTGCTACGCACCAACCAATAAGTTTGGTGGCACGTTGAACGGACTTCGATTTGATAGAATGATGATGTCAACGAAATAAACACGCCATCCACTCTCATTTATAATAGTCGATTTAATTCGCGTCAGGGAATAACGAATAAAATAGGTCAAATACGAGAATGAATTTTGAAAACGTATATCTATCTCATAAACTCGTTGGCCGGGATAGACAATCAGAGGAATGAAGTGGGATTTATGTGCTCTCAACATGGTCATAGGAGGCAGCATTTGACCCGCAAACGGACACAAAGCTACATATGTTTCGCCTGAACACGTTACAGAAAACCAGATCGATCACATCTACGTGAACAAAAAATTCAGAAGCTCAACCGAAAAAGTAGGGATAAAGAGAGAAGCTGATATAACTTTATATCACCACATGGTAATAGACAAACTGGAACATAAGCCAAAGGCGTATTGGACAAATGAGCAAGCAACACCGGAAAATTTTAATACCGCCTTCCTTCAGAATGCTAACAAACTCAGTCAGTCCAATATAGATCTCAGCAACAAGTTCTAATTGTTACAAGACCTACTAGTAGAGAAAATCCCCACAGAGAGCAACTCGAAAAGGCTTAAACGAGCAATAACTTCGAAATTCCAATGTGTTTCGGGCCCCAATAGGCACCAGAATGAAGAACAAATCACAGTAGATAGTTTGGTCATGATTCAAGGAAATGAAACAAGACAGCAGTCAGAATAAACCGACGAAAAGCAGGCACAGGCTGAATACACATAAGTAAACAAAAGAGTGAAGGTTGTTTTGGCTTTGAGAATCTGAGGCCAACTCTAATGCCGTGAATAACACTTGATAACAACTGGGAAGAAGAATCTAGAATGGAGCTAGTTAGAGACTCCTGAATGGTGCTACGGCAAGAGGGGTAACTGGTGTAATTATTTAGGTTTGAATCGAATGAGCACTGAGAAAATATTGAAAACTAGAGCATATTGACTCAAAAAAAATAGGTAATTCGGTAGATTCTTAAGTTATCAATAAACTACAACTTATCATACTTAGACTAAGGTCAAATGTAACACTGTATTGTAATGGCTGGCGCAGTAGGCTTAAGTAAACATTAAATGCTAAATAATTTGGTTTATATTAAGACTGCAAAAGAGTGAATGAAAAATTTTAAAATTTTCTATTCAAATACTAAGGAATTAAATGGCCCACAGCAGTTAGTAGACGAGTACCCGGCACTGGCTGACATCAAGATGCATTTGAGCGCGGGCCTTATAAAAAAAATCGGGAAACCGAACTGCTTGATCTAAAAATTTATCGTACTGTTTCGATTACAGGTTGCAGAATTGCTTAGGTTACCGTTTTAATCAGGCAGATTAACGTAGGCTGATGGATAATGTAAATTGCAATCGATACGCGTGTAACTAACTCTAGTATACATTGTAATAATCTTGTGGCATCAGGTAAGTTGTAAACGACCTCAGTATTATTACTCTAGGTCAACTTACAGTACTTATATAATTCCTTTTGTTCTTTGTACAGTGAAAACTTCAACACCTGATCTCTATTTATCTTCGTTTATCAGTTATTTATTAGTGTATCACAAATAATTTTACATTTATCTGGTAAAGAATTAAGAGCTTTCAGGGTTATAACTACGATTCTAACCGTAACAGAGAGCCACAGCAAAGAATCTCAAACAAGTGTATCAGTTCAAGATATCCCTTTTGAACCAAGGCTGTCAAAAAAACGTGTCAAATTAACAAGACAATCCGTGATATAATCAAAAAGACGCTACACAGCATGAACAACCAAAACTGAAAAATTTAGAACAGAATCTGTACACAATTTAATTTATTTCAATATTAACAATTTTGTGCATTTTCAAGAAGTTTATAGCAGGAAAAAAAGAAAGAAACCGACAGTAAAATCATCCAATGAATAAATATTTGTTAGAAGATGCATGAGGAAAACAGATCCACAAAGCATAACTGCAAGACAAAATTATTGTCCAAAAACGCTCAGAATTCAAATGTCGGTTACGTGGGTAGGTATTTGTAATCCGCCTATAAAGATGAGTATGTGCATACTACCAGCTCTAAATCGAAAGGCACTGTATAGTTGGTGGAGATATATGTGGAATCATTAATCCACATCTTCAAAACACATTTCCTCTGGTGAATTTACATCGGTACTCCCATTCAGCGCACAACGACCTAAGTCATCACTTGACACAGAATCCTCCATTTTGTCTCCATCATTAAACATTTGCATTATCCGTGAAAAAAAATTATTCATTTCATTTGCAGGAGGTTTAACACCAAAGTATAATTGGCCGATTTTATCCAAGTATTTTAAATAAGAAGAGTCTCTGTTCAGTTGGGGACTGTATTTTTCACATAGTACTGAAAATACAGCTAGACTGCACTTCTTTTCAATGGCTAACATCAGAAACCATAGGAAATTTAATAAAGGAAAATCTGCAAACGGTGGCCCAGGCTCTAAACGAGGGTGACGTCGTGTATATGTGTAAAACGTTAATATGGCAACTGAGATTTGTTTCATACATAAAAACTGAAGGACAGCTTGTGCAATAAATAAATCGATTTCTGATCGAAGCCCGTATCGCTGATGCAAAGCAACAAGGAAGACACCAGCCGCATAGCCATTAGAAGATAACATGATACGCAACCTTGCTTCACTGAAAGATCCTTCTTGCCACAATACACGAGCGAGATATCCATTGAACACAGCCAGAAGATCTTTTTGCTTCTGTAGAAGTTGAAGTGTCTTGTGGACAAAACGTGTCCTTTCTTCACCAGGACACATTCGTATCAAAAGTTCACAAATTTCATCTAGATGAGATTCAGTCAAAACTGTTTCACTCTGGCTATACACTTCAAGTACAAGGCAAGCTAACTCAGTACCACTTTCCCATTGTTCATTATCAAGTAAAAACTCAGAACCTAGTTTCAAATATTTTAATGCTTCCTGATAATTTTTCCGCATAATACAACGGAAATGTATGGTCTTGTATAGTTGATGAGCCTCATAGAAACGTCGTTCGCTGACAGCCAACTTCAGTCGTTGATCTAACTTGGATAATTTTAGTTCAACCGTTGACATCTGAACAAAGTTTAATAGAGGAGTTATACCTGTTGATGAAAACACCAAAGAGAAATACAAAATTAGGAAATTGTCGAGAAATATTCGAATAACATTTCAATGAAATGTATCAGAGGTCAACGGTATCTCAGCACATGAATACACATTTGTACTACGTACCTAACTACTTCGACTGAATTTGTCATAACATAATCTTTTGAAATGTGTCCAAAGTAGAACGAATACAAGCTTTTACATCAATTCAGTTCACAGAAAGAACTATTAGTAGACTTGGGGTAGAACAAAGTAGGAGAAATTATCTGTCGGTTAATTAATGAAATTTTAATAACAACCAACTACTTCGTTCTTTTAAAAAACCGATTGCTGAATTACAATCGATTATAGCAACTAGGGTGGGTTACTAGAAGATAACACGATTACAAGTGTTAGCTTGGTGTTTGCACCAGAATAAAAGCAACTGTTGATGAGTGATCTTTTTGTCTGCTTGAAAAAAACTTGTCTTGCATTGTATGATATCTGTCCTTTAAATCTACCTACATACAGCCTAATTATGATTTGTTAAAACGTTTTAATATCTGTTTTTATTGATTTGACCCGTTGAGAAATGAGGCGATATGATCGAATGTAATCGAGTGATATAACGCATCATTCGTTATTGGATGTAAAGCAGTCTAAGCAATGTGAATTTAATATTTTTACGCAGTCATATATATCATCAGCATTCGTCATTATTTTACCTGATCGAAGCTGCTACCTTGACGCGGTGGTCGGGCTTGCCTATCGTGATGACCCAACCGAGCTATATTGGCTGGAACATATGTTCCTGCAGGTTCTACCATGCCAGGCAGGTCGATTGGAGAACGGTAAGACTAAAAGCAGCAACTCAAGGTCTGAGGGCGAAGTCGTACTGCTGACTGGAGAGGGGTGTGACAGCAGTAAGGTGTTTCCCTCGGACATCCAGCATGACAGCGATGCTGCCTTCCCACAAGGAGGGGTGGGGTTAGAAAAGGTCGACCCTAAAAATGTCACACCTCACCTTACCTCACGGATTTCTGTCTCCGGCGGTAAGGCCCTTTGAAGAACGGAGCTAACACGTCAAAAACCTTCCACAAAAAGGCCGTGCGCGACCGGCCTCAAGCAGTTGTCCCTTGGGCTCTGCGGTCACGCTCCCAGGTCGTCAAGACCAACACTAATCCAATTTCCTTTTCAGGTTCCTCAAGAAATACCCTTCCACGGTGTGGGCAGCCGGGAAGTGATATCAGCCCTCATACCCGTAACAGCACAAGAGACCAAGGTGGTCACATTCAAATCCTTCCTACACCTTCTAATACCTCTCTTATCTCCCTGACTAACCCTCCCCACGTCTCTTTATCACCTCGCACCGCTAGGGCAAACGATTCGAGTACGTGGAACGCCATTCCTGGTCTCCTGAAACCACGCTCTAAACTACACGTAGGAGCTTTTAACGTACGAACACTTTGCCAAATAGGACAGCAGGCTTCCTTAGCTAAAACTTTAGATTCTCGCGCCATCGATGTGTGCTGCGTCTCCGAAACGCGCATACAGGATCCAAGTAGCGTCATTCATTTGACCTCATAGGAAATCTGAAACGAGGGAGATCAGCAGGCCCTGACAGGTTTACTCCTGAGATTTTTAAGGATGGTGGTCCAGTATTAGCAATGAGATTAACCGAGGGCTTAGGTAGAATTTGGTAACTGGACGTAATCCCATCTGACTGGTCTCAATCACTGATTGTGCCAGTCTATAAGAAAGGACAAAAGTCCTCTTGTGACAATCACAGAGGAATCAGTTTGACTAATATAGTGTCTAAAATATTAGCTTCAATAATACTTCGACGCCTAATCAAAGCTCGTGAAATGCAGATTAGAGAAAACCAGGCCGGTTTTCGACCTGGACGTGGTTGTATAGATTAGATATTCACACTACGTCAGGTTCTAGAACACAGACACACATTCAGACGCCCCACAATGGTAGTATTTCTCGACGTTAAGGCGACATTCGACTCTGTTGATCGTGAGGTTCTATGGCAGTGTTTGTCCCTGAAAGGAGTACCAAAGTACATTAACCTTATAAAGGCTCTCTACTCGAACACAACTGGTAGAGTGAGAGCTTATGGCGAACTGTCATCAGAATTGATTACCTCAAGTGGTGTTCGTCAGGGCTGTCCACTCTCCCCATTCTTGTTCAACTTTGTTATTGACGTACTTTTAGAGATAACACTTTCCTCATCTAAATTTCCAGGGGTTGAAATTTTACCGGGAGGTTCACTTGTTGACTTAGAATATGCAGATGACATAGTTTTATTTGGTGAAGACGCTGACAAAATGCAGAGTCTTCTGACCACTCTAAGCAACAATGCAAGCATGTTCGGGATGCGATTCTCTCCCTCGAAATGAAAAATGTTGCTTCAGGATTGGGTTACATCGACACCGGAACTAGTGATAGGGAGTGAAGTAGTTGATTGTGTCGACCGCTTCACTTATCTTGGAAGTCTCATCAGCCCTTGTGGTTTAGTGTGTGACGAAATCTCAGCACGGATACGGAAGGCTCGACTAGCTTTTGCCAACTTGCGTCATTTATGGCGTAGGCGAGATATCCGTCTATCAACCAAAGGACGTGTTTACTGCGCAGCAGTTCGTTCCGTCCTACTTTATGGCAGTGAAACATGGCCGGTAAGAGTAGAGGATATCCGTAGGTTACTAGTATTTGATCATAGGTGTCTTCGAAACATTGCTCGTATATCATGGGACAATCGAGTAAGTAACACAGTTGTTAGGAAACGGGTACTAGGTAAGGATGGCAAATCAATTGATGAAGTAATGAAACTTCATCAGTTGAGATGGCTGGGACACGTGTTACGTATGCCGAACGACCGACTGCCTCGACGTGCTATGTTCACTGGTATAGGAGTAGGTTGGAAGAAAGCTAGGGGCGGCCAAACCAAAACATGGCACAAGTCCATGAAGTCACTGACAAGTGAACTGAGTCATGTTGGTAGGTGTAGACTACCTGGTTGGGAACCGCGAGATGATAGCAACCGATGGTTAGAGACCCTGAATGACATGGCTCAAAATCGTTTGCAATGGCGCAGTTGCATCCACTCTCTGTGTTCTGTACATACGTACGAAGTTCTACGTTGTTACTGACTGACTGACTGACGTCATTATTTTAGCTGGGAATTTTTATCCAACCATTTGGTATTGATTCAGGCTTTTATTTTAAACAGCGTAAATGCGATTTCAGTCAGTCAGTAAGTTACAACGTAGGACCACGCACATACATGCACCGGTCCAAGAAGTAATTTAATAAACGAGTACAACATTTAGTACCCGAAACTGGGCTACAATTCGGATGTGTCAAACAAAATTATTAAGCTCCTCTTACCAAAACAAAACTAAGTTCGTATATGTCAGTCGGTCAGCTACAACGTAGTAGCAGGCAAATATATGCCATACCTCATTAGCACATCAAATTCATAGAAGTAGTTACTTCAATGGTATTAATATATGGAAGATTGCATATAAGGATATAATACAAGAAGAAATAATTAACTTGTAGAAATAAAGGTATAAAGTAATTTTAATCTCACTGTTTAAGGGAAGATGAAGAGTGTATACACCTACGCCATTGTGATCGGTTCTGAGCCATGTCGTCCAGTCTCCAACCATTAAGTACGACAGTCGCACGGACCCTAACCAAGTAGTGTGCATCTACCAACATGGCTCAGACCAGAAAATAGTGACTTTATGGACTGATGCCACTTTTTGGTTTGACCTCTCCTAACTTTCTCCCATCCATCCCCAACACTAGTCAGCATTGTGCGCCGTGGCAATCGGTGTTCAGGCATACGCAACACGTGGCCCAACCATCTCAGTTGATGTAGACTCACGACCTCATCAACCGACTTACCATCATTCCCTAATACCCTGCATCTGAACCTCACTATTACTTACCCTGTGATCCCAGCAGATGCGAGCAATATTTCTAAGACATCTGTGATCAAATACTAGTAAAATAGTCAGTCGGTCATCAGTAACGTAGAACTTCGTACGTACGTACATCAGTTCGAGTTGCCATATCAAACAGTCAGCTACAACGTAGGACCAGGCACATATATGCATCGGTCCAAGTTGCCATACCACATTCGCACAGAGATACAATTGTCGATTCAAATCTCATTGTGATACAGGTAGTAAGAGTATAAGTAGTAATCGGAAAGATTAGGGTTTAAAGACGTTATTCAAGTAGTATAAACCAGTGAAACAAATTTGGGAAGATAAAAAAAGGGACATGAAGAATTCAGAAGATCAGAATTTGGGAGAACACAAAGAATGGATGCACCTGCTCCATTACAAACAATTAACCTAAGAGTATCCTCTACCCTTAATGGTCATGTTTCGCAGCCGTAAAGTAGAATAGAACGAACTGCCGCGCAGTATACTCGTCCCTTAATTGATAGACGGATATCTCACCTTCGCCATAGGTGACGTAGGTTAGCAAAAGCCACACGAGTCTTTTGAGTACGTGCAGAGATTTTGTCAGATACCAACCGATTAGGGATGACCAGACTTCCAAGATAAGTAAAGTTGTCGACGCGTCCGACTACTCCACTCTCTATCCTAAGTCCAGGTGTTGACGCAGACCAGTCTTGAAGTAACAAGTTGCATTTCGAGAAGGAAAAATGCATTTTAAACGTCCTAGCATTGTTGCTCAGTGCTACCAAAAGACTTCACTTTATCAGCATCTTCACCAAATAGAACTATGTCATTTGTGTATTCTAGGTCGATAAGTGGACCTACTGGAAGGGGATCAATGCCCGAAAATTCAGTCGACGAGAACGTTATTTCCATCAGTATGTCTAAGAAGTTGAACAAAAATGGAGATAGTGAACAGCCTTGACGGACACCAATTAAGGTTGCAAAGGCAGATGACAGTTCGCCATAAGCTTTGACTCGACTAGTAGTGTTCCAATAAAGAAC